CTCTCTCTCTCTCTCTCTCTCTCTCTCTCTCTCTCTCTCTCTCTCTCTCTCTCTCTCTCTCTCCGATTCTCTTTTTTGTCTCTCTCTCGCGCGCCCTCTCCCTCTCTCCCGGCACAAGTAAGCAGTTGCTGGTGTTGTTGGTGCTGTCCGAAAGGAAAACCAGTGCACAAAGCCCCAGGCTCCCCTCAGCAACGACAAACGGAAGACGCATGTCGGATGTATTTCCGTGTCCAAAGAACCGGGGAGGAAACCCTCACCGAAAAATGACCGCAGCGCCCACACTGCCGTGACTCTTGACAAGCCCCGAATAAATCTACTTCCTGGAAACACATGCAGTTGAGCACTACTTGAGAGGACACTATAAGCCCCCCAAAGCCCCCCGAAACCGAAAGTTTGACATCACGAAACAACAACAGGGAACACTGTCAATCGAAACAACCCACGACCCACAAATCACTCCTTCTTTCCTGTACAACCGGCTTCCGAGGCCGAATGGTTCCCGAAACGCCACCCTACACAAGTCGCAGTTTCCTCCTACACGTAAAATGGGGGTATCACCAAGTGTCACAGAGAAAGCGCGCTTTCCCCGTAACACACATACACGGACGGTACGGTTTAAGGGAGGATGCGTCCCCGCAACCCGGCGAGCACTAATCGCTGGCACCGAGGGAGTCGACGCGGGTTTCCGTACCCCCGTTATCGTTATGAAATACCTGGACACGCCAGATAAGCAACGATCATCACAGCCCTTCCCTCCCCAAGTGACCAAACACACCACATCAAAACACAGCAAAGCCGCGGGCGCGCAAACAATTGCGCAGCTAGGGACCCCATCAATGCTGCAACCAACAACGACCAACAACGACAAAATAGTTCGTCCCTATTTGACCTGATTCACATGCATGCATGCGAAAAAAAAACGTGAACACACAAATGACAACCTGGCACAAAATCGAAGCAGGGGGGGGGGGGGGGGGGNGGGGGGGGGGGGGGGGGGGGGGGGGGGGGGGCGGGCGCGCAGACAACCGCGCCGCCCGGGGTCCCCATCAAAGCAGCAAACAAACGCCGATCGGGATGTAACCTTGGCCAATTTCACAGTAGTACAAGTACCAACGACTGATATGGAGTACTCCAATAATCCGTCCTTCTCATCACACATGCGTGCGTGAACCCAGACGCAGACCCGTCAAAGCGACGTCGTCGCGCACGAAAGGAAATGCCTGCATCTCTCTTGCGGGAAGCGCATGCTGCCCGTTCATTAGGAGAGAACCTGGGACAGAGAGGGCAGTGAATGCATGGTGCCCCGCACACACAGGGCAGTGGATTCACGGCGCCCCGCAGATACTTGTGCTAGAGAAGGCGTTATCTCACGGCGACCCGTCCCATTTCCCTCCTTTCTCGAAAACCCACGTAGTCCGGGTTTGGACCTATCCTTGGCGTTTGCGAAGGAAAAAAAACCCACAACAGACGGCATGCAATGGCCCCAGAAGACGAATTCGTGAGGGCGGGGAAGAAAGCTACTTTAGGTCCTCAAATAGGGGGGAAACCCACCAACCGCCCTACTCTCTATATTTTGGTTCGTCATTCTCCCCGTCGTGACGCGGAAAATCGGGTTGCCCTTGTCCACACAAATAAACTATTTCCACTTTTTTTTTTTTCCGTTAAGTTTGGTGCCCTTTCCGACGACACGAGAAAATATCTGGTCAAAACAATGCGTGATACATGTTAGAAAACGCGCGCACACACAGAGGTACCAGAACCCCCAACCATCCTGCACCCCTCTTCCTCGATCCTGTGCCACCGTCGGTGTGGAGCTATTTCTGCGTTTCGTTGCTGCTGAGCCGGCACGTTCGGTCAGCGATTCTTTGAGCAATCGGCGCTCCGAGTGCGACCACTGCTGCTGCTGCTGCTGCTGCTGCTGCTGCTGCTGCTGCTGCTGCTTTTGTTGCTGCTGCTGCCGTTGCCGGCGAGGTAGTACCGATGACGCTCGTGCGGGTGAAAAACGGCCCTGTCACCTCGAGAACCAAACAAAAAAACTCTGCCAACAAGGCATATCGATGTTGTGCTAGATCTCGCTGCTCGCTCAGTAGACCAAGAGCCTGCCATTGCCCCCCGTGTAGCGTGTGGCGAAGGCCTGACCCTCCCGGGTGGGTTGGGAGAAGGCGACCTGGGCGTTGTTAGACGATCGACGGATACAAAAAAATAATATGCGCATGTCAGGGACTCAGTAGCCTACGCAGCTTTTTCGTATGAAGCACGCATGTCCACGCAATGAAAGAATGATTTTTACGAAAAAAGACCAGGGAGAGGGGCACGCAGACCTTAACCCTAAAGGTAACCCTAACCGTAACCCTGACCCCAACTTTGCCGATTCTATACTGTATCCAGTATTTTTTGCTTACTTAGAAAACCTGCGTAGACTGCTGTATGTCAGAGTTAGGTGTGCTTGTTGTCATTGCTTCGGGTACGTGATCGAATGAGCAGGACTGCGCTGGGA